TTGTTTTATCCTTTAGCCTAACAAAGGATGCATTATTGAACAATGAAATTGAAGAAAAACCAGAGGTAGTCCCTTTTTCTGTCTTAAACTTTTGTGTAGCCATATCTATTGAAAGTTTTTAGTAGATGTGTAATTTCAGCCATAATGGTGACTATTAAATAACCATGGGGCAATAATACACAGCTTTCAAATTGTGTCTGCTTTCAAATTTTCAGAGGAGAGGCTTTAAAAATGGTAATCATATTCTTAATGAGGAATTTTTAAAAAGCAGCCGTTTCCTTCTCTGTGCCAATAGCACAATGTTCCATTACATCTTTTAATGTGGAGGAAGAAAAACCTCAGACCTGGCTGCAAATTGGCCCAGCCCTTGAAGGTTTCTGGAGTCCATTCATGTGTTGTAGAGAGGAGGGTGCAGAAGGGAGGGGGAAATTCCACCTCAGAAGGAAGCAGATAGAAAATAGTGCTGAATATAAAAATCTGGCCAGGAGCAGAATTTGGTACCATCTGTTGCCTAATCCACTTGGGACTGCGTCCCATCCCCTGGCTGCACACCTTTTCTGTCTGTCCCAGTGCATGTTTGCTCTTTTCCGTCCCTCACCTGTCTGGTCTACCTGCTTTTCTCTCCTCTTGAGCAGTCAGCCATCTGCCCTGGAGCAGTTTCTTCCATTTGGCTTACTTTTATCTTGTGGCTGATGTGGGTGCCTCCACGCCTGCATGGTTTTTTTTTTGTTTTTTTTTGTGGTGTTTCTGTGGCAATACCAGTCGTTGGTCCCTCTGTCAGGGATCCAGCTTCTTTGGGTTGCATTCATTCATGGTGATATTAAATGTGAACTTGAGGGAAAATACGGTGATGCTATGTGATATTCTGCTCTTTTCTTTTTTAGAAGGATTTGGTGCCCACTGTGTGTGAAGAGCAAGGAGAAGCATGCATTTCAGAAAGGTAAAAAGTCAAGTTAGATCTTTCACAAACTAAAGCGTGAATAAATTTGTGCCTGTTTAAATTACATGCAGGGAGTGTGGTGAAGCATAGGGCCATTGGTTCTTTGGACTGGGAGGCAGCAAATTGCCTCTCTTATCTGGATCATGCAACAGGTGGCAATCCCAGGGAAACAGGTGGTTGCTTTAAAGGGTTGCAAGCAGTATTCTGCTCTTGGTCCCATGTGCTCCGGACCTGTGTAGGGATCCCCCTCCCCAGCAGAGTTGTCACCTGGTCCTTAAGCAGGAACTGCAGGCCCAAGAAGATCCCCAGATTGTGCCACAGCCCCATCCAGAGCAGAGCTGCCCTATTGAGAATCGAGAGAGGGCAGGTCCCCTGACTCTTCCTTGTTGAGATTGAGTCAGAACTGTCCAGCGCAGGAAATCAGGAGTCCGGGTGGTTCAAGTGAATGTATAGGTTTATTGCATACTGTAGGCGTGGGGGCATAGGACCCCTCCCCACAAAATCCCCCAGGCTGAAGCAATTAGCATGTTTTATTACAGTCAAGTAATTAAAGTGCTTATATTGCTTTTCAGCCCACAGATGAAAGGGTCTGTGAAAGAAACAAATGCAGATCTTCCTGGAAAGCAGAACATTGACACTGCTTTAGCTGCAGACAGTGAAGGAACTAAAAGGCCAGTTCCAGAAAATAGATTTAGTTCAGAGTTTGAAGCCTGCTCTAGGAGCCCTGCAAGACGGGCACTGGGGGGCCTTGAAAATCAGCAGGAGGAAAGCGTGCCACTGGCCAGGTGTGAAGGAAAACCATCTCCTCTTGAAGAAGACGACCCAGTTTCTGTCCCAGAACCTGAAGCCTGCACAGGAGAAAGCAGCACTACCAGCCTTGGGAAGCAGATGGATGAATACCTTTCCGATGCACAAAAGGAAGGCCCTGCCACTTCAGAACTTCATAGCTGTTCCAAAGATAGTAGCATAAAGGGTTCTGCACATCCAGAAAACCCCAATCTTGTAACTGCTGAAAGCAAAGCCGGTTTGCCAGTCACAGAAGGTGCTTGCGCTTCCGAATTGATAGGCAGTCCAAGTAGAGTGGATCTTGCCAAAGACTGCTACCCCCCCAGTCAGAATGACCTTGGCCCTCTGGCTGCTGAGCATGACGGGAGCACCGCTGCTGCAGAAAGCTCCTCTGGGTCGGAACTCCCAGCCGGTTCAAGCAACTCCACAGTGCCAGAAGCAGCAAGGGATGCAGATGCTCTGAGAAACAAAAGTGATGTTGAACTTTTAGTTTGCAGGCGTGAAAGAACAGAAGACACCTTTGCTTTAGGGGAGTCAGTTCATTCAGATGGTTCTGCAGATTTTGCAGATGAAGGAGGTGAGGACAGAATCGAAGATGGGGACAAAGCCATGTCTCTAATTGCACAATGTGGAGAAAGTATCTCTGAATTGGTTGGAGATGAATCCTCCATTGCTGAGCTTTGCACCTTTCCAAAAAACACTCTGACTGGAATGGCGAGGGATCCTCTTGGAAATCTGGCTGCAGATGAGCATGAAGGAAGTCCCTCTTTGTCAGCTGTGAAAAACGGTACTACTCCAGGGTTGCAAGAAAATTTGTTGGAGAGCTCTTGTGTAAAGGTAGTTTTTGACAAGCAAGGAGAAGCAGAACTAACCGAGCTTGGAAGCAATAAAAGCAGTGCTTGTTCAGAATGGACTGGCTCTGATGTCCAGACAAAGGTGGCCAGTTTAGAGGAAGTTCAGCTGGCAGATGTGAACATGGATTCTACTCCGCTGGCATCCAATGAGGAAGAGGTCAGCTTTGAACAGTTCTTGCGAAGAAGGGGAGAGCCTGACTCTGCCCATTCCGATGCGAGCGAGCAAGGCAGCATTCACCTGGAGCCGCTAACTCCCTCCGAGGTGCTCGAACATGAGGCCACGGAGATCTTGCAGCAGAAAGGAGGCGTCCCGGCCTCAGCCAAGAAAACCGGTCTTGGTTCTGAGCCAGCTGACCTTTCTTCTGGAGGCGGCAGCCCGATCCAAGAGGAGTTATCCAGTAACCAGGAGGAAGCCAACAATGAAACCAGCTGAAGGAAGACTTTTCCTTGACAACACAGATTGTGAAAGATGAAACAAGCGAGGCAGGGCGTGCAGCTTGTCCGTTGCAAATTAGGTAGGCAGAAAGCGCAGAAGAAGACCGTGACTTTATAATATGTGAAGCTGGAGGAAAAGGTGTTACTGGATTCAAAGTAAGGGCTCTTACAGAAGCCACATTTTTTTAAAAAAGTGACTATGTACCAGAAGAACACTCAAAGGGAAACCCTGGGCTGGGGGTTGCATTCCCACCCCATCAATGGCAACAGTTTGGGTACCTCTGGATTAGTGTGATCTTACAACAAGAGGCTGAGTTCACCTTAAAACTTTCAGTGAAAGTGGATGGTTATAAATATACTTGTGCATTTCTCTGTGTGCAAACACAACAAAATTATACATACCATACCTGTTTGTAGGAAAGGTGGGGCCCCGGCTCTTCCTTTGGGGCAGACGTTCTTATTCTTTCTGTTAACGGCAGGCCCAGGAAATACAAAGTGGCTTGAAAGAAACACAAAGATGAAAAGATGTAATCTGTTACCAAAAGGAGGAAGAAGAAATTTGGAAGCATTTAAGTCAGGTATTGAAGGGGGATTTTGGAACTAAATTTATGTCAAGGAAGTGGAAATGGAAAGGGTGGGGTGGGGTGGCATGAAAATCCTTTTGATATACTGTAGCTAGTGAAGGAATGTATAACATGATTTAATAGGAGTTTGCATTTTCAATATTAACACCCTCAACTAAAATGCTGCTCTAAATCTTGTAGAAAGTGATTTTGAACTTGAAGTTTGTTTTTATGAACTTAAATGTTTTGAATTTCCGTTAAGACATCAATGTACATATTTTGGAGTAAATATTTGCAAGAAAATATGGGTTTTGTTCCTTGAAATATGTATCTTTTTGAAACTGGCTTTTGGAGTCCCCGGTTCTATGGTTATTCACCCTCGGCAGGCCTCCAGACTTCCTCCCCAGAAGGAATGCATTTAGAACCTGCTTGAGCTGAGTACCATCGCCTTAGTTGCAGATACACACAAGGCACCACACATTCTGAGGCAAGGCTGCACAGCTGCTTTCGTTCGCCTTCCAATGCTGGAGAGATTCAGGCACACCCACCTTTGAGTAAATATGAAGATGCAGATCTTGGGCTGGTCATCTGTGAAAAGAGAAAGATTGCTGGGAAGAGTCTGGTGTGTCGCACTTGAGAAAACTTTCCCGCAGCCTCCCTCTCTGTTGCCAAGTGTGTGTTTGTTCATTGGAAGGATGAATAAGGCTACCCAACTTACACATTCTTGACTGGCTACAAATTTAAAACCAATAGGATAAAGAAGCCCACCACACACAAACATGGACCTACATAGTAACTGGAGGCCACGGCCAGAGGGCTAGGTGGCTGAGGAGAGGGAAACCCGGGAAGGAGGACGGGCAATGGGGAGAGAGCAGCAGCTCCAGCCCGTGATACTGGATGGGCAGGACCTCCCGGGAAGCTGAAATCCACCCCGGCAGCACCCCGCCGCCCTCCCCCCCCCGTCGGTTGAGAGGTTGGGCTTCACATGGAGGATTCGGCGGCCTGATCCTGGCCTTGTAGGCGCCGCCCCCCCCCTCCCCGAGTCCTGCCGCGGGAGCCTATTTCGGTCCACGCTTCTAACGGAGCCCGCTTGCCCCTGGCGCTCCGGGGCGGCCAAGCGCGTCTGCTCTCGCAGAACCTCGGGGGGCGCGCAGCTTTGCCGAGGCTGGACGGTCAGCCTTCCCGCCGCATCAGATTCCCGGGAGCGGCGGGAGCAAAAGGGCCCGGAGGGAGGGTAGCGGCGGAACAGCGGCGTCTCGGTCGAGCGAGGGGGACTTCCCGGCCCCTCCCGCGGACAGCCCACCCTCGGTCGGGGCGCAGGCGCAGTTGCGTCGAGACGCGGCGCGCTCCCCTCCCTGGTTTCCGCCGGAAGCGCGCCCGTTGCTAGGCAGCGCGGCGCTCTGTCCTCTGCCGCCGCCCGGCTGCCCTCTCCGCCCCTGGGGCCCGCGAAGGGCGGCTTCCCGCGGCCATGGCGCAGAAGCCGAGCCGACGGCAGCCCACCGCGGCGCAGCTGATGGACCGCAAGCAGCACGAGCTCTACTTCCAGCAGATGCGGGAGCTGGAGCACCGCAAGAAGCTGGAGCGCGTCCACCAGCTGGAGGTGATGTGGGAGGCCGAGGACCGCGTGCAGCAGAAGCGCGTCACGCGGTTGCTGCGGGAGGAGGAGCACGAGCAGCGCCTGGAGGAGGCCGTGCGGAAGGTGGGTACGGGCGGAGAGCGGCGGGGACGCGGCGGGAAGCCTTCCCTGGTCAGCAGCGGCAGTTGCAGCCGGCTCTCCCCGCAATCCTTGCCCCCCCCCCCCCGTTTTATTGCTCCTCAAAGAGAAGGAGCGAAAACTCAGCCCCCCCCGCCCCCAAAAGAAAAGCATTTTGGTAAAAATGTTAAGGTAATTACTAATGTCAAAGCCTTTGCTAACAAATTATCCACTATTGCGCTGCCACATTTAAGTTAATCAAGTAGTTCCGTTTTTTGTAAGAATTCTTATCAACCATAGCACATATAATTTATCTTGTGGACGAATTGAACCATCAGACAATTGCAAACACACTGAAATTTATGTGAATCTGTTTTGTTAGGCAGAAGAGAGTAAAAGGCTAAAAGACCTGGAATTGCAGCAGGAAGAAACACTGGCAACTGAATTAGCAAGATTAAACCATGACAAACTTAAAGATGAAAAAATGAGGCAACAAATCAAAGAAAATAGGTACTTCCTTTACTGACCATTCATTCTGTGGCTGTGGTGTTTGAGGGTCATCCTCATGGTTGACACAGGTGGAAAAAAGCTCGCTGCATATGGAGGAGCAGTTGTTGTTCCTGGGGCCCATCCAAGCATCTTTGGGAACAGAGGATGTGGCTCAGAGACAGTCTCTGCATGTGCAGGAAATCCTCAACTTACGACCAGTTGCTTAATGACCATTGAAAGAAACAGTAGACTCTGAAATGGTGCTTAAATGGCTTGTAAAACACTGTTGTGAAATGTCACATGCGCACACACGATTGCATGGCTGCATTTACAAACAGTTGCAGTGTCCCATGGTCATGACCACGATTTGCAAACTTCTTTGCTTTCTTTTGGCAACAACTGCCCATTTGGGAGACTACGTGATTCTGACTTGCCACCACATGGTCCATTTAGAGAAATGGTAGAAAAATTGGATTCAATCACACAGGTGCCTCAACTTACGACCAAAGTTCCAACCCCGTTGGAACTGCCTGTAGCTCTCCTTAATTAGCTCACACTCCAGCTGCTGCTGTTTCCTACTGTCACTCCATCCAGTGCCTTTTATGCTAATTCTTTAGAGGGCTCTTGAATCAATAATCACTTCCATGGTTTTTTTTTGTCTGCTTGTTTCTAGTATTGAACTGCGGGAACTAGAGAGGAAATTGAAATCTGCATATATGAATAAAGAGAGGGCTGTTCAGATTGCTGAAAAAGAAGCTCTGAAATATGAAAAAATGGTAACTAGTTTTATGGAATAATTTTTGGACTCTTAATGAAATAAATGTGAGAATGTTGGAAAACGGCAGAAAATGTAACTGGAGAAATATTTATAGGCCAATGCATAAAGAATGCTGTTATAGTTACAGGTTGTTGACTGGAATATAGATGTCTTTTATATGCAGATGATGCTGTAATGTGTGAGAACCTGAATGATTTGTAGCAAATCTTAGATTTTGTGATACAGTAGAGAGAATGGATCTGGAAGCTAACTTCTCAGACAAAAATAGATGTACCTGACAAGAAAGATGGAGTGAATGATTGTAAGTTATAAGTAAATAGGAGGAAAACACAGCAAGTAGATGGATTTGTGCCAACAGAAGGAGGATGCAGATATCTACCAAGCAATGAAGGATGAGCAAGAAAGAGCAGCCAAGGCAGAGAATGCTGTTGAAACGAGACGCAATCAGGAGAAGTTGCTCTATCAGCAAGAACTGGAGAAACAGTTGGAGGAAGAGGAGAGGCGGAAGCAGGCTGCTTACAAGGAGTTCCTTAAAGAGAAACTCTTGATTGATGAAATTGTGAGGAAGATCTATGAGGAAGATGAAAAGTTAGTTTATATTATGTTAAACTTTCCTGGCTGAACTACTTGTACTTTCTTCAGGATGAATTGGCCTGACAATTATAAGTAGTCCTTGACTTAGAACCATTCATTTAATAACTGTTGGAAGTAATGATAGCACTGAAAAAATGACTGATCCTCACACAACCATCACAATGTCCCCGCAACGTATGATCAAAATTTGGGTGTTTGGCAACTGAGGTATATTTATAGTTGCAACATGCTCAGGGGTCATGCAGTTGCCAATACAACCTTCTTGGGGTGAGGGTGGGGGTGTTCAACAAGCAAAGTCAGTGGAGGAAACCAGATTCACTTAACAATCATGTGGTTTTCTTAATGACTGTGGCAAAAAAGGTTGTGACTCACTTTAACACCCATATCAGTGACAAAAGTTCCAGCCCCAATTTTCTGTTACATGCTGTGGGTTGGGACTGGCACTTTTTGCTTTTGTATCACAGATTTATCTTCCTGCTCCGAACAAATCTCACTCTCCCAAACAGGCGGCTGTTGAGGCGGCTCCCCATCCTTGAGGAGTAGTCATAACAGGTTGCTCCATTGTGCAAAGGAAGCAGTCCTCCAGGCCTTGTGGGGCCAGCAGTGCGTCCGTCCATTCCCTCATTTGCTTGAGGCATCTCGGAAACCTTTGGACCAATTACTTCACAGGGGAGAAAGCTTGGACTGTCTTTTAAGGCTGTTGGCTCCTTCCATGGCTGGGTGGGGCCACATTAAATGGTTCTCATACCATTTATTTTTAATTGTGATCCCTTCTTGTGGTCACAAGCAGCAGTGGGATTTCTGGAAGATAGATGTATGGCAATCCGCTATGTGTCCATACCAATGCATGCAGCTGGGAAATTTTAAATTGCTCACTGAAGGGTGGGGGGTATAGGTTGTCAGGCTCCTCCAGGTGCAATACTGAAGCTCTGCACATTTCCCATAGGGCAAGACAAGACAGACTAGAAAAAAAGAGAACCACGCAGAAATTCATTGAAGAATTCAAAAAAGACCAGGCCTTGAGGAGGAGACGACAGCGTGAAGAGATGGAAGAGGAAAACCAAAAGATCATGGAATTTGCTAACATGTGGCAGGAGAGAGAAGACAACCGAATGGCAAAGATTCATGAAAATGAGGAGAAAAAAAGAAAGCTCCAGCAAATGGTATTGACATTGCCATTCTGTCTCTCAGATTTGGTTGGGTAGGAACTGCCTAAACTTGTCTTTCCTCTTGCTTGTAGCTTACAGAAGTTCTGAAAAAAGAGCAGCAGGACCGAGAGGAACTTGAGCAAATCCGAGCCGAGTTGCACTTTGAAGAACAGGCTGAGACAGAGAGGAAGAAGGAGATGGTAAATGCCATTGGCTCAAGTTCCAGGGGTGCGGGAGGGGGGGTCAGCAAGGAAAGGGGGATGTCTGAGTCCTGCTCTTCTGGCTGAGGGCACAAAAGGTGGTTGGAGCTGAGCTTTGTTCCATGTGCAGGAAGAGCTGGAGAAGAGGATCAGGCAGCGCCTAGAGCTCCGGAACTCCTATGAAGAACAGCTGGCTTCAAGAAAGATGCTGCTGCAGGCCTTGAAGGAAGAGGAGGAGGCCTTTGGCCAGGCCATGTTAGCCAAATTTGCAGAAGATGACCGTATTGAGCAGATGAATGCTCAGAAACGAAGAATGAAGCAACTGGAACATAGGAGAGAGGTGGAGAAGCTGATCCAAGAACGACGCAAACAAGTCATCGCAGACAAGGTAAAGTGAATTCTAGAACTGAGGAGGCTGGGAAGGTCATTCAGTCCAACCTCCTAGTATGCAGGTTCTGTAACTGATGAGCATCCAAGCTGTTTGAAGGGGGTGCACCATTTCATATTCCACAGGTTGATAGATCATGCCCAAAAGTTCCTCAGGCCTGATGTCTAGCCAGAACTTCCTTCCTACTAGTTTATACCTGCTGTTCTCCTATCCCTGGGAATGTGGAATAAGCTCATTCCCTTTTTTGCATATGAATACTATGATCACATCTCCCCTCAATCATCATCTTGGTGTAGATCCTTTAACCATTCCGCATAGCGCTTCCACACCTCTTCTGAACGGCCTCCAATTTATCACTCTTCAGAACTGCACATGGGACTGAAAATGGGGCCTGACCAGGGCAGAGAGAAGGGGAGCTCAGGCTTTCTCTGTAATGATGCACAGAGGCTGCGTTTGCCTTTCAACAGCTTCATCACAAGTCTGGCTTGTATTTAATTTGCAGTCAACAAGGACATCCGGATCTATTTCATATGTATTAAAACCAAGTTAGTTGTCCCCCAGCCAGTACCCCAATTCAGAACTTTATATTTCCCCATATGAAATTCTAGCTTACGTAATTTTGCCATCTCCATGAGTAAACACAAATTTAGCCATTGTGGTTAGTAGTGGCTACTTTATGCCTCGACATGCTGAAAGAGATCAGCATCTGTTGAGCTGAAAGAAAGCAGCGCTAACAAACCCAGCGTTCTCCAAGCCAGCATTTTGAATAGAACACAAGCACATTTGCCCCTGCTGGGTGCTCCAGGAGACCTGGCTATGGCATTGGAGTACAGATTGCAGCCTGTATTAAAAACAGTGGCTGGTAATTTGTCAGCCAAAGCACGAAACTGCTTTTGAAGTGAAAAAGTCACACGCTTCAATTTTACCACCATAGGAACGTGAACTAGAAGAAAGACAAATGGAAGAAAGGAGGAGCGGAATCGTTGCTGACATTATTGAGGAAGAGCGGCAGAAGCTTCTTAAAGAGCATGCAGTTAAACTGCTGGGGTATCTTCCACGAGTAAGTCGAAGCAGGGTCATTGCCCAGTGGAAGGCTTGCTGGGCTTGCTTGGACCAGAGCTGTTGCAGGCTGAACTTCATGCCCCAGCTGGAAGAGTGTGGCCGAGTTCTCTGGTGCCTCTGCTTTTTCCTCTCCTCATGGGGAGATTATCCTTCCTCCAGCTGGGACTGTGCATTCTTATACAGGGAATTAGATGGCCCAAAGGTTTTAAATGTCATGGTGTCGCCCAAATCCTTCAGTCCTGCAGCCACACTGGACTCAGCTGCCCTGAAGTGGCTAAATGGTTACAGAGTATTTTCAGCAATCTTTCAGTGGGTTTCCACGTTAAAGTGTGGTTGCACTGGATCTGTAGAGATCCTGCAGGAGGGCTTGTGGCAGCTGAAATCAGAAGTGGCTGGGCTGCTTTGTACTTGATTGCAGTTGACTCTTGAAAGGGGATTTATGATAAAAGTGGCAGAATCTCTCTTAGTTCTCATTTGTTTGAAAAAGTTGGATGTTTACTGAACAAGGATGAACTGTTGTTTTGAAGGGAGGGTTTTACATTTAAAATGAACGAAAAAAGGGCTATTTTGTTTATCATTTTAAAATGATAGCTGTGCAGTTAAGTAGCAGTCTTGAAAATAGCTCTGATGATGTTCCATTTAACTTTTTTCTTCTGGGGTGTTCAGGGAATCCTTAAAGATGAGCAAGACGTTCACATGCTTGGAGAAGAGTTCCGGCAAGCTTACCAAAAGAGGCCAGAGGGTGGGTTCTCCGAAGTCAACTGAGCTTTCATTGCTTCCCTGAAGAGCCCACCTAGCAGTCACCCCACCCTACGGACTGCATTCGCCGCTACACAGACTTTTTAAAAAATGACTTTTATATTGATAAATTACTTCTTTGACTAGAGTTCCCAGTTTTTTTGCAATATTCATTTATTTTTTATTATTTGGTTGACCTTTCTTCAGCTTTAGGCAGTATAAGTGCATCCTCCCCGTTCTTCCCCACAACAACCCTGTGAGGAGGATCAGGCTAAAAAACCCATAAGCCCAAGTCCTCCAGCAAGCTTCCACGGCTGGGAGTGGATCTGAATTTGGATCTCCCCAATGCCATTCCAGCACTTCAGCTCTGTGCCATACTGGCTGTCTTCTAGACTCTGTATCTGGATTTAATTTTAGTTGAGAGTTCTCTTTGAAGACAGATTGATAATTCCAAGCATTAGAACAGATTGTATTATTCTTTGCTTAGTTAGCAATTTAAAACAAAGCAAAAAACCATGCCATGGGGGCACCCTTGAATGCTGGTAGCTGTTCTGACCTAGGCTTCCCCAAAAAGCATGAAGCAGATTCCTGGTCCCGACAAAAACCCTTTTATTAAACAGTGAATTCCTCTCATTCACCTTCAGCAAAGGCCTGGCAAACAGTCTTTCAAAGTTGAATTTATGACTACAGACCTTATCTAGCTTGGAAAGCTGCCATGTTAAGTATTTTCCAAACGCAGTGCTGTGCAAGGAAAGACTTGGCACAAAGTCAGACAGATCTTCACACTCCTGAACCGAACGACCAAATTGTTTCCTGCAAAAGCCCACTCCCCTTTCGCTCCTCTTATTTCCTATGGGAGGGGCCATTCATTGTCCACCTGTGGCCTTACTCCCAAGTCGACCCTTGTTCTTTAGCTGTTCCCTTCATCTGGCATGCGCACACTGGGAACAGCTCCAGCTGTTCATCTGCCTCACTGATGTCTGAGTCCGAAGGCAGCTGATAACTGGCATACAGCCCTGGCCCCCTCATCAGAGCCTTCCCCAGACTCCAGGACTGGCCCATTCCTCCCCAATCTCCTCACTGTCCGAATCTGCTGCCACCTCGGCTGGCCACTAGCGGGCCACAACAGTAGCTTTTTTCAGTATTGCAGCTTTCATTTCTCCAATTAGTACTATTTTTATACGATGTACTATTACATCTGTTCTATTAACTGAAAAATGCTTGATCAATTATTTCCTGTAGTTTTATTCCTTTATAAAACTAATTCCAATAATAAGGGTGAGCATTCGAATTATTATATAGTCTAGAAGTTTAATGACAGCTATCAATTAAAAGAGTTGGCAAAGGGTTAGATTAACCCTGCTAAGTGATGGAGAATGGGAAAAGAGCTATTAGCAAAAGCATTAGTGGGAAGAAGTGAATAGTGTAAAGCATATACTCTGCCTTTTGCCCCCAGAAAAAAGTGTGGTTCAAAATTTCACTCTTCTGAAACACCCACATCTTCTGTAGAGGGATGATGCTGTGTATTGAATTAAGGATTGCCCCACTCCAGAGCCTTCATAAATTCCTCTTCAGTAAAAGAAAGCATCTTGGCAGATTCAATGTGCATCTAGGGGGAAAGAAGATTTTTACTCAAGAAATGTTTCTTCCACCTCTCTGACAAGAGGTTTTGCTCATTCTCTTTCACTATCTGAAAAATAATCTGAGAAATGCATTATTTCTTGTAATGTAACACACACACACACCCCAGTATATTTTTGACTGACTGGCCACCCCTGGTCATCCAAAGACAGAAACCAGTTTCCACCTCTCAGCAAACAATATCTTGAGATGACCCAAACATGAAGGGCTGCCAACAAGAAACCATCTGAAGCTGGTATGTCCTTTGGGATCTGAGATGGGAATTAAAACTGATTTTGGGAAGCTTAACATCTTTCATTCCTTTCCCACCAGTGGTGGGATTCAAAAAATTTTACTACCTGTTCTGTGGGCGTGGCTTGGTGGGCGTGGCAGGGGAAGGATACTGTAAAATCTCCATTCCCATCCCACTCCAGGGGAAGTTTACTGCAAAATCCCCATTTCCTCCATCAGCTGGTACTTGGGAGGCAGAGAATAGATGGGGGTGGGGCCAGTCAGAGGTGGTATTTACCAGTTCTCCGAACTACTCAAAATTTCTGCTACCAGTTCTCCAGAACTGGTCAGAACCTGCTGAATACCTCCTGTTTCCCACCCGACCTCCCCTGCAAAACCCTAGCCACAGAGATTCCTTATACTGACTGTGGATTTACTCTATGACCCAGTTCATTATTGCTTTTTAACCCAGAGACTGAATTTCAGTCAAAACAAATGAATTATGCTGCACCCTTAATTTTAATTCAATTAAAGTTATTAATAGCATAGAGTAACTTGCCTTTTGTCTTTTTAAAATATCAATAAGTTTTAATTGCTTCTTGAAACCTGCCACTAGCTCTTCTTTTTGTTTCTCCAGTCTCTTATTTTCAATTTTTAATTCTTCAAGTTTTTTATGCTCTTGGTTGACCACATCCTAGCACAAAAGGAAGAATACAGAAACTGTTACATCCTTATGAATACAGCCCTTGGACACATCTGAAGGAGAGCAAATGACAAGGCTCAGCAGTGCTGCACAATCATAAGCTCCTATAACTTCCTAACAAAACCCCATGTGCAGTTCATATACAGCCATGCCTTGAAGGATCTGATTCTGTCACCAGGAGAAAGAGAGACTACAATGCATGTGCTTGCAGAATTATTTCATTTTAGAACTGATATTGAATGCATTGCTTGGAACAGACAGGAAAAGACCATGCAGCAAATTAGAAAGAAAAGAAAGGAAGCTGTAATCATGAAGCTTCCTGGGTGACTTTAGCCTTATCGTATTTGATAGTTGAAATGAGAAAAAAATTGGGATGTTTCCCGAGCAGTTAGTAGAAAAAGACAGATGGGAAAGGGTAAGGGGTGCTTCCTAGGCTAAGGGGCTTCCAAATTCACATTTCTTGCTAACACATACCGCCTACCTTGTTACTTTGCTTCAGTTTATTTAGCTCCATTTTGTATTTCTCAGCTTCCTCAAGAGCTCGGTTCAAGCGAATGTCCGTTGTGCTCTGGGTTGCCGCAACTTGTTTTTGTGCTCGCTTCAGATTCTCCAGTTCCTGTTGTATCAAGTTAAAACATGGCCAAAAGCCTCTCTTGGCTTCAGAGGAGGAGCCCTTTGGTGCAGCAGCAGGAAAGAGCCTCAACATCCAGCCTTGTCTGCCAGCCAGGGACAAAGGTAGTGGCGGCAGTGACACCTCCCCTGCCTTCTTCTGAGGGATAACTTCCCACAAACATTAATATCACTTTTTTACAAACAAGGTAGAGGAACTTTCCATGGTGAGGATGCTCTACAGCTATTTATTTCTATTTTTTCTTACCTGCTTCAGTTCTGGGACATTCGTACCAGATCATTTATGTGTTTTTGGATTAACTTGTGAGCCATTAGAACTTCATGAAATCATGATTAAACCAATGAAAGCCTAGTCCCTCTGACCAATGTCACACTTATCCTCCTAAAGAAGGCAAGAGATCAAAATGGCTTTGTTACCTTTTCTAGCATGGAGAGTTTCTGCTGCAGACCTTCACTTTTTCGGATGGCTTCCTCTGACAGCAGTTTGTACTTTTCTGCCTGAGACTGGTGTAGGCTGGCTGCGCGTTGCAGCCGACCACGTTCTTCTTCAACCTCCTTAAGACGGCTGCTGAAATGTTCATTCTCCCCATCCTGCAGGCCCAAAATTAAGAGCCACAAGAGAGTTGGAGCCTGTTGGGTTAATGCTATGTTTCTTCTCTGCAACTCTTCCCCCGCCCCCCGAATTCCAACTTTAGATCAAAACTTCAAAAAACAAGCCCACACCCTGTTTGGATGGTGATCCTTGGGGCTCTGAGGCATTCTCCTCCCTGGAGACACATTTGTTGTTTTCCTTGGGAGTTCTTTTTCTTCTGGGACATCCCTCCAACTTCACTACCAGGCCTTTCCTCACTCTCCTATGTTCTGTGAGGAAAACCCGGCCTCTCGTGAGGAAGTTGTGAATGTGAATGTGCAGAGGACTTGGTAAATGTGAAACGGATACCTTTGGGTGGCAGACCACCATCAAGTACAATCCATGGCTTAACCCAAACAAGTCAGCACCTGCTCTTACCTTCTTGCTACATTCTTGCCCAATGGCATCCAGCTCCTCCTGCATCACACGCAGCTTTGCCTTTAGGAACCGGATCTGGGCCTCTGCAAGTTGGCAACAACTCCATAAAACAATCTATCTTATGTAGAATCTACAATTCTAGAGCCCATGTTAAGAGAACCCTATTTAAGCCACCCTGAAAAAAAAATTGGGGTGGTAGATTACATATGCATGTTTTGAACAGTGGCAATTTCTAGAAGACCATTTTCCCCTGCTACAAAAAGAAAGGGACAATTAGTGAAAGCAAAACTAGCCAGCAAACAGCCTCACTCACCTGCTCCAAGTTCACATCCTGTACTTGGGATAAGATTATCTTCCAGATCAGGCAGGTTTCCTTCTTCCAGCTGCCCTTCAATTTTCCCAATTAGTTTTGTCAGGGAGCATCCTGGAGCAGCAACATCAGTATTGCTTGGGTCAACCTGTAATCTTGATTTTGTACTGGAAAGTTGAAAGCAATATGAAGAGGAACACAGATGTCTAGGAAACTGTAAAAGCAAGACTGCATACTTGTGGGTATTTGACCCAATATAAGTAAACATTCTCTACTCATAGAACAGCATTTGTACAAAACAGTACAACAAAACAGATGCATATTAAAATTGTAACATGGAACTAATCATCTGTGTGAAGTGATTTGATCCTCCTCTTTAAATCCAGAATTATCTGCCAGCTAAGAAGATTGAAGAATGTTTTGCAACCTTTTAAAATGTTTCTACAGAGCTATCTGCCAACAAAAAACATATTTCCAAGGCAGCAGTCCCAAGTATGAGCAAGTGAGGAGATTCCATGAAGCTCTCTATTCAGATAGAGACAATCTAGAAAAGGGTACGCATATCCCTCCTCCAGCATTTAAAGCTCTTCCGTCCCCTGTATAAAAGGGGAATTTGCCAAGATTTGGAATGCGGGCATCAGAGATGGACACGGCTCTTTTGACCTAACTGCCCGGGCACAGCTTGGCTGTCTTGTGTTCTTCTCAGACTGCTGGATAGAAGTAACTGAATTCAACTACAACCATCACATTATGAAAGCTGCAAGATCCCAAAAGCTGCCAATGCTGATCCTGTTTTATGCTCAACTTTACATTCTATACCAGTGATGGCGAATCTTTTCTCCTCGGGTGCCAAATGCGCACCCCACTGCACATGCACACATGACCCAGCCCCCTGCGCATATGCCCTGCCCCCTCCCATGCCCCATTTTGGGCCTGGAAAGCCTCCTGCACCAACCTTTGCCGGGGGGAACTGCCTGCTCCATGCCCAGAAGCGGCAGCACAACAGCCATCACCGGGGGTGGCGGTGGCGAGGACGGGCGGGTCGGGGCTTCCCTCCCTCCCCACCCAACCAGCCAGCTCAGGCGCACAGGGCAGCATCTTTTTTACTCTCAGCTGAGATACAATTTTTCTTCCTTTTAAGCTGAGATTTGCACTTTGGAAATTTTATTCATCTGTTATTTTCAATACATGTGTGGACCCGCACGTATGCCCTCCCCACATATGCCCTCCCCCCTGTGCCCTATTTTGGGCCTGGAAAGGCTCCTGCACTAAACTTTGCCAGCACGAATGGTCTGCCGCCGCCACTACTACTACTCCTGCCAGCCTTGCGCTCCGGGCAGCATCCAGCCAGCCATGCCTGGCTTGCCCCTGTGGCAGTCCATGTGGATCCCAGGCAGCGCAGCTTCGGGGCCTTTCCTCATGGTGTCGGTGACAGGGCAGGCAGGCAGGCGGGCGGGCACAGGGGAGCGACTGGGGCAGCGCTCCTGGCTGGCAAGGGGGTGGATGTCCCGGGGCACACATGCACACCGGCCAGCTAGTCTTCTGTTTACTGGCACGCATGCATGTGCGATGATCAGCTGGCCGGCTGATCTTCTGGTTTCTGGCACTGCCACACATATGAAGGCCAGATGATTGTTGCACGCACATGCACACCAATGACCAGAAGACTAGTTGGCCAATGCACATGCGAGCACCAGAAACCCAGAAGAGGAATGGGTGACGCTGCACGTGCCAAGTGAAATGGCTCTGCGTGCCACTTTCGGCACATGTGCCATAGGTTCGCCATCATGGTCCTATACCCTAAGAGAGGTCTTTTCCCTTTTCTTCCAGTCAGTGGCCGACTTCGAATTGTAGGTGCAGTGCTGGCTTTCTTCTTGTGTAGCTGCTAAAGAGAAGTCAGAAAAACCACTTTAGATACTTGGTAGGCATGCTACTTCTTAAAGTTTTCTTTATTTAAAAATGGGTATTAAAAGCAGTTGGGCTCCTTCACACACTGGGGCCCAGGCACTTAATGACATAATGTGCGGTTTGTTCTCCAGATAGTTTACTGTATGCGAAACGCAGAAGATGAGGCTGGGCTACAAACCGTTCAGTTTCCCCTCAGAAGGGAACTGCTGACTTACTAGAAAGATGTAAAATGAAAACTCTGTTCCGGTACCTTGTTATGCGCAAGAGGAACTGGTGGCTCAGGAGAATTTATATCCCTATAAAGAAGCAGCAGAGAGGAGCATATTGCGATAAAGTTCAGGTTTCATTCACGCCAGTCAAGGAACACCACCTCTCCTCGAGGTCGAAAAGCGGGCAGCGCGGAGGCCTCCCCCGTTGCCTTCTTTGCCTGCGTCCGGTGGGGAAACGGGGGGGGGGGGAATCAAGAGGCTCGGGCGATGCGAAGCCCGGGGGGCTCCAGAGAAGCGGGCGGAGGAGCGACCTTGCTGAAGCCAGGCTTGAGCGCCCTCCCCACCGGAGCGCGCAGCCGGCGTACCTCTCCTTGGCGGCGGCAGCCGCCTCCTCCTCCTCCAACGCGTCCCCGCGGGCCGAGACGGGCCTGGCCAGGGCTTCCCGTCGATCCCTCTGCAGAAGGGAGGGCAGCCGTCAGAAGCCTCCTCCGGCCGCCAGAGCCCGGGGCCCCTGCCGCTTCCGCCCCGCGCTCACCATCAGCTCCTCCGCCTGGCGCATCACCGCCGCCGCCTTCGCCTCCAGGGCCGCGTTCAGGCGCCTGCAACGGGACGGGGCGGTCAGGGCGGGCGGGGGCCGGGCGCCCCCTCCGCCCCCCCCCGGCCGCGACCTACCTGTACTCCTCCTCGCGGGCCAGGAGGGGGGCGGCGCTGCGAGGCCGGGCCGGCTGCTCCCCCGACGGCTGCCCGGCCGCCGCCATGGCCCACCGTTGCTAGGCAACCGCGCCGCTCCCGGCACGCTCGCTTGCCGCGGCGCCCCCTGGGAGTCGCAGTCCGCCGGGTCGCCCCTCCCCGTCCTCTGACTCGGCTCCCGCCGTTGCCCCTCGAGGTCCCCTGGCGGAGAGCTCCGGCTCCACTCGGAATAGGGCTGGAAGGGACCCTGGAGGTCTTCTAGTCCAGCCCCCTGGGCCCCTTGGAAGCCTCCAGTGAGGGGGCAAGGCGCTCCACTGGTTGACAGTCCGCCTTGTGAGCAAATTCTTCGCCGGGAAGGCGCTCCGGAGCCCTCGGCCGTGGGCCGCCGCTGCCGTTCCGTGCCGAGCAGCCGGAGAAGCCGCGCTGCGCCCGGCTCAGGGGCGACCTACGCCGGCCCCGCCTCCCGCCCCGCGGGCCCGTCCCCGCCGCGTCCCTCCACCGCCCGGCCGTCCCAGGCCAGGCGGCGGGGGGGCGCGCGCGCGCTCTCCCTGCCTCTCCGGGCTCGGCCAGCGGGCGGCGCTGCGGCGGCGGCTGCGCGGGAGAGGAGGCGGCGGCGGCGGCGGCGGCGGCGGAGCTGCTGGTGCTGCGGCGGCGGAGCTGTGGTGCCCGGCGGCGCCGGAGAGGAGCTGCGGCATCGCGGCGCTGATCTGAGCGGCGGGCCGCCCGCCATGCGCCGCCCTCGCCCCCCTGCCTAGCGGCGCGGCGGCCGTGCCGGGGATGCGCGGCGGCGGTGCCGGGCGGGCGGGCAGCGGCTCCCTGCTGCGCTGCGGCTGAGGCGGGCGCCGCTCGCCGGGAAGGCCCAGCATGGCGGAGGAGGCGCCGCCCGCGCCCGACGGAGCCAGCGGAGCCCCCGCGCCCGCCCTGCCTGCCCTGGTGCCCGGCCTGCAGGGCGCGGAGGCCGGCGCGCTGCAGCACAAGATCCGCGGCTCCATCTGGTGAGTGCCGGGCGGGCGGCGGGGGGGGGCGGGCGGCGCCCTCCGGGACCAGGCCGGGGACGCGGCCATTGTCTCCGCGGCGCCGGGGACGGGCCGGATCCAAGATGGAAGACAAAATGGCCACGAGGCCCCCCCCACCCTCCGCCGCCGCCGCCGCCGCCGCCGCGCCTTTGTCTGCCCGGGCGCCCCGAGGGCCCGGCGGAGGGAGGGAGGCAGCGGGCGCGGCGTCCCGGAGCCGCCCCGGCCGAGCCCTGACCCGGGGCCGGGGGGCGGGCCTGCCTGGGCGGGCCGTCGTGCCTGCTCGGAGGGGGCCCTGCCGCGGGCGCCGCCCATCCCGGCCTCGGTCTCGGCCCCCGCCGGCGCCGGCCGCCCCTCGGGGGAGGGAGGCGGGCTCGTCCTTTGGGCAGCCGCCCGTGGAGATGCCGGTCGGGGGCTGCGGGCGCTTGGGGGGGAGGGCCCGGGGGGGCTTGTTAGCCCAGGGAAGGCGCGAGCGAGGCAGGGGCGGCCGCTTGGCTTGCGCTCGACGGCGAAGAGCTTTGGAACGGGCGCCTGGAACTGCTGGCGCGGCGCGGGCCGCCTCCCCCGATTTGGGGCTTTTTGCTATCCCAGTTTATTGCTTGATGCCCATGAGGGTCCTCGGTGGGGAAGCGCCTTAAGGGCTGCGAAGGAGGAAGCCGTCGTCGGGCTGCTCTCAGCTGTGCCGCTGAGGATGATGTCAACTGTTTGTCAGATGTGTTGCATTGTTGCTTCTGCCGTAAGCTGCCTAGGGTCGGGAAGATGGGAGCGCCAGAAAAGCCTTTGAAACGGTAAATTAGCCAAAGGTATTTGGAAACACTTGGCCGAAGAGAGGGCGGCGGAGGTGGCTGCTGTGCCGTATCTGGACTGGGTGGTTTTATGCACCTGGATGGAGGAAAAAGCCCGTGGACCTCGACAGCGCAGCTCTGCAGTTACGGGAGTAGCGTGCCATAAAATGAGCTTTTCAACCCAATGTGGTACATGAACAAAAATAATAATGCTGCCAAAACCCTACGAGGAATTCACAGGAGCCCATATGGTGGGATTGATTATCCTACAGGGGGTTATCACAGATAATAATAAAAAAATAATCTCAACAGAAATGATGATAAATTGGAGCCATTTATTTAGCTTTTGCAGGCAGCCGGCAGGACAAATGCCTTTCTTTTACGAGGGACTTGTTTCTAAATGTTTTCATAGAAGTCCTTGTTAGCTAATGGTGTCACTTTTTCTTATAGCTGATGGTAGTTACTTACTGTGTTTATTATTTATCAATTTCTATACTCATCTCACCTGTGACTCTGAATGGTTTACAAATAGCATTTGTGACCTTAGGCCAGTCCTTCTCTCTCAGCCCAGCCTACCTCTCAGGGTGGTTGTGGAGAAGGAAGCTGTGTGGGATCTATTCACCACCTTCAGTTATTTGTAAAAATAATAAAGGCGGGACAAGTAAACAAATATTACAGCTACAATAAATCTTCATCTACAGTGTAGATACACAATACTCGTGGGCCATACATCCCAACAAAATACCATAGAAAATTAAAGCAAATGTTCAGATGGATTAAGGCAAAACAATGTAATGTGCAAAATAATTACTACCAAATCGGAGACCAATCAATTGGTGTCATAGAACTCCTGCATATTCTCAGATGCTGATTAAATAAAAAGAAAAGCCCTCACAAGCACAAAGCACATCAAATTGTTTCAAAGAAAGGGGCATTCCAGGGAGACACCCCCCACCCCCTTTGCACTGGCCTGTCCAGGAATGTCCCAGTAGATGGTGGCAGCGGCAGCCAGGCAGACAAGGGAGGAGAGTTGGGCGGCATATAAATACGAAAAATAAATAAATAAATAAAAAATAAAAACAGCCACCCTACAGCAGAGCTCAGCAACAGCCATCAGCCCTGCCTCTTGCATTAAGCCCCCCACCCCCTCACCCTGCTGTATTTGCACAACCCCCTAATCCCTGTTTTCTTCAACCGTTTATTTGTCATTTCACCTTGCTCTATTTTTCCTCCAAGAGATCCTTTAAGCCCTTTTGCTCCATCTCAGTGACATGCCGAGCCTTTGACTGAGCTGCCCCCCGCCCCCCAAATGGGCATCCTGTGGCTAAGGTGTTTTTTGGTTGGGGGAAAATCATGCAGAGAGTGGCGACCGAGACAGGGAGGGGCACCTTTCACCCAAGCCCCCTCCGACAGCTGTTGCAGACCCTTCTCTTCTTGCTCCGCGGTGGCTGAGAGGGTGTCTGTGGGCGCTTCTTGCCCCCCTCGCGAAATGGTGCCATTTTTCCTCCAACAGGTTATTTGCGTGAAAGGAGGAGCAGCCAAGCCCACCACTGCAAGGCCATGTGGCGGCTTTGTTTTGTCTGGCTGCCTGGCACTGCATTTTTCCTCCGGTTGGATGAAAAGGCTGGAGATTCTCCTTTTCTCCTTCACGGGTGGAACGGCAGATTGTCCGGGCGCCTGCTGCTTTTGGGGATTTAATCTCTGGGCTTTTGCTTTATTTTCGCTTCGTTAAAGCTTTTATGTTAATCGCCTTTGTGTCCACAAGGAAGATTCAGCTCTCTGGGGATGTGGGATGTTAGTGAATTTTGGGAGGATAGGAGGAGGGTGTGGCCCAGAGATGGCAGTCGATACCTGGAACCCTTGCGGCCTGGGGAGTCGGCCAGGCATCGTGTGTTGGTTGCCAGAACATGTCCTGCTTCTCTTGCAGCAAGAATTGGGGGTGGGGAGGAAGACCCCAAAGAGGTGGAGAATTCATGACCAAACAGCAGAGAAGGGCTCCTGACCAGGAATAGTCAAGAGGAAGGAGGGAGGTATTGAGTTTGGGGGAAGCAAGTTGGCCCCACAGATACAAAAGGAGTCAGTTCTGCTTCCATATGGAAGAGCCCTTCTACAGATGTGGAGCATCAAGACTAGGAGGAGCTCAATCTGACCTGTTTCCATGGACTCAGTTATCTTGGGCACTTCACTGCCCTGCACAACAGACCTGCTATGCGTGTCTGACAGGGTCACTGGGGAGATGGGGAGCTCCTGCTGCAGGTGCCACTCAATGTGTGTCACTCTTGGTATGGGTGTGGCCCCTGTGCTCTGGATTGCCCCCTAAGGTTATCACGTAGCCCTGGTAACATTTGGGGTCCCTTTGAGCTGGGCAGAGGAGCTACAAGCAACCCACGTAGCCAGGTGCTGGGGAAGCCCTTGGTCTCAAGAAATCTGAGCTGTGACCTCCTGGGTTGGGTGCATTTTCCCTTTTCTGTCCCACTGCTGCTCCTGTGTGTGGCCGGTGGGCATTCCTCGCTTCAGATTCCAGCCCAGCATTGTCTCCGGTGGTCAGGAAAGGGAAGGAGAAGAGGCAGGAGGTTAGATGAGTCCCTTGCAGAGCAGGATGATGTGCGGGGTGCAGCCACTGAAGGTTGATGCTGGCAGGCCTAGCACAGGGTGGAAATGCCTCTGCTCCCCCTTGATTTGGCTTTGCTGTTGTCCTGGCGCTGGGGGATGGAGATACCCAGTGGCCTGGCCTTTCCCTGCATCTCCCGGGTGCTGGTGAGAGTCCTCTGGGTGAAGGCAGCATCAGGCCGCTGTGCCTACAACCTGAGGGCAACCTGACTAGCATGAAATTGGGGGCTCAGGAGAGCAGGGAGATGAAGTGCTTGAAGCCAAATCAACAGATCAGAGAATCCACCATTATAGCTTGCAGGACTCATTGCCACAAGACGAGGCAACGGTCGGGGAGCTGGCTGGCTTTGAATGGATTTCAGTTGACTAAGGAGAGGAAGCTGAGGGGGCAGCGGCCTTGCGGTGCCCTTCCTCGTGGAAGGAACTTGGATGCCCGCCCTGGGTGAGAATTGCAGGGGTGGAATCGGATCAGAGGTATTTTTCTGCTTTCTGTAGGTGAGGTTTGACCCAGAGAATGTGCACCCAAGGTGGATTGTGGATTGTCCCGTCTTAGGTGGGGCGTTCCTGGCCGGGCTGCTTCTCAGCAAACAGGGAGCAGCCGCTCATGACGGTCATCCTGCCTCTCTCCTCGAGGCTTCCCGAGGAGCTGAGCCCCGTCCGGAGTTTGGCAGCATTCTTCCTCTTCTGGTCTCCTACACACTTGGGAAAGCAGGGGTCACCATGTCATTGCTAACATGATATGCTCCTCACAAACTGGAAGCGATCTCCAGGCCTCCCTAAACATGCCTGGAGATGTCCACTCCTTAAATCTTTTTGCTCAAATAAAGGCATTTAAAGATGAAAGGATACCTATAGACCATTCTTCAAGATTCTGATTGATTAAAGCAGGGAATTCCAAGTCCCGGTTCCATTGTCAGTCTTCAGATACCTTTGGCTTTTCTGTAAAAATGGAAGGCGGCTGACAGTCCTCCAGGCCTTTTTCCCAAGAGAGCCGTTGGGGAGCCTGGGATGCTGCACAGAGACTTTATTATATGCACTTGTTTATAACGACCATACCTATTAACTTTGGGGATTTTTTTTTTTTTTTTTTTGCTTTCCCCCTTCCCTCTTTAGCAAAGCTGTTCAATCTAAAGTGGACTGCATTTTGGTGAGTAAAAGCTGGAAATGGGGCATTTCTAGTTGGGCTCCTTAACTGCGGTCTTCCAGGGTATCCTAAGCGCTGGTTTCAGGCGCTGAGACTTCCAAAGAGGGTTCCTCGTTAGGCTTCTTGGGTGAAGGCCCCATCCTGAAAGAAGGGCTGACATAGTGAAAATCTCTTCTCTGCTGAGCTGCTGGCTTGCTTTCATGTGCCAGCTGGCTGAGAGCTCTATGGGGCAGGAGGAACGTGGAGGAACAGCAGGGCAGGGAAGGAGGTGGCCAGCTTTTCTGGGCTGCCCTGAAAGTCCCCAGGAAAGAGGTTGCAGAAATGGCTCCGAAGTGCTGGCCTCTTCATGTTCTGACTGTCTCTCTCTGTGTTTAGCAAGAAGTTGAGAAGTTTACAGATTTACAGAAACTCTACCTCTACCTTCAACTGCCTTCTGGTCCCAGCAATGGCGAGAAAAGGTAGGTGGGCGTGTCCCAGGATCTGAAGAGCATCTGCCCCTTCCTCAAGCGCACTGGGTCACACGGCTGTGCTGGGGGGCTTCCTTGGGATGTGGGGGGCTTGACATGGTGCGTTTGTGTGAAGCCTCCTTGGAGTGTGGTTTGCTCCTGGTGATCCGTGAGGATCTGGATGGGGAGAAACAAGCTCAGACACAACCCCTCCAAGACCGAGTGGCTGTGGCTTCCGGCGTCCCGGTATAGTCAGCTGGTACCATCACTGACAATAGGGGATGAGATCTTGCTCCCCACAGAGAGGGCCCGCAACTTGGGTGTCCTCCTGGATTCACGGTTATCTTTGGAAGATCATTTGACGGCCGTGGCCAGGGGTGCCTTTTATCAGGTTCGCCTGATCTGCCAGTTGCGTCCCTTTCTGGATCGGGACGCCTTGCGCACGGTCATTCATGCCCTAGTTACCTCCCATATGGACTACTGTAATGCTCTCTACATGGGGCTCCCCTTGAAAAGCACCTGGAGGCTCCAACTGGTCCAGAACGTAGCCGCACGGGTGATTATGGGCGCAGCTCGTTACGCCCATGTAACACCTCTCCTACGCGAGCTGCACTGGCTCCCGGTGGTCTTCCGGGTGCGATTCAAGGTGTTAGTTATCACCTTTAAAGCGCTCCATGGCTTAGGACCTGGGTACCTACGTCTTTTGCCACCAATAGCCTCCCACCGACCAGTTCGTTCTCACAGGGAGGGACTACTCAGGGTACCGTCAGTCAAATTATGTCGACTGGCAACTCCCAGGGGGAGGGCCTTCTCTGTGGGGGCTCCAACCCTTTGGAATGAACTGCCCCTGGAGATACGGAATATCCCTTATCTCCGTGCTTTCTGCCGTGCCCTCAAGACCCTGATGTTCCAACAGGCGGGGCTAAACATACGAACATGTGAATGATTTTTTAAATGTGATCTAATTCTGGGTTTTATTTAATTGACCAAACTAAGTAATAATTTTAATTAGCAATTTTATGATGTTTGTGTGTGTATATTTTTCTTGACTGTACACCGCCTTGAGTCCTACGGGAGAAAGGCGGTATAGAAATATAATAAATAAATAAATAAATAAATAAATAAATAAATAAATAAAAAATAATAAATATATACGTACATACATACATACATACATATATATGTATGTATGTATGTATGTGTATATATATATGTGTGTGTGTGTGTGTGTGTGTATGTATGTATGTATGTATGTATGTATATATAGTGAGAAGCCATTTCCCCAAGAAATGGCAGGTTGTGGAATACCTTGAACCCTTCAGGGTTAATGGAAAGAGAGTTTTGTGGGAAGGGCCTTGCAAGTGTCAGGGCTCTGCTACCCAGCTGGAGGAGGCTTTCTCCTTGACTCCGTGGCCTCCAGCCCTGCCACCCCCTTCCCTGCCTGCCTGACTTCCTCTGCAAACTGCCTTGGTTTGTGCAGTGCCTCGCCTTTGAGAGAAAGCACCCCAATCTTCCATGGGGAGCCTGCCTCAGACCCTTGGGTGCTTCCCACACGTGTAGAGGTGCTCCCTGCTTCGTGGGGAGCATGCTCTCTCTACTCTGGGACAGCTCTGTGTGGCAACACTGAGCGTGCTTGCTTTGGGGGCCGGGTCCTACCCCTCTCCTCTGGGGCCCAGCTCGTGTGCCTATCTCAAGGCCCTCAGCCACAGGGAGGTGGCTTGGAAAGCAGCTCTTATGGTCCAGTGGCGGGAGTTCCACAGGAGCAAAGGCCTTCACGGACTGAGGCAGCCCTTCTCCTGAGCCCATTGGTAGGGATGATGATGATGATGTCAACATTCCCATGCCTGATGTCCCCTCTCTTGCTGCAGCGATCAGCTGTCTGTCTCCTCCAGCCGCGCTCAACAGGTGCACGCCCTTTCCTGGATCCGGAACACCTTGGAAGAACACCCGGAGACCTCCCTCCCCAAGCAGGAAGTGTATGATGAGTACAAGTGAGTCTTTTCCATCCGTGGCTGGGGAGGGTGCCTGCGAGGTGGGGCGGGGATGGATGGCTGCTTTCCACCCTCACCCTCTCCAGTAGCCTCTGGGCCTGGTGCCCTTTGGCTCTGCCTACCGGGCTGCTCCCCACTCTGAATGTCAAAGGTGCTGTTGAATGGGACATGCTCGCCTGCCCTGAAGCCTCCCCTTCCCACCTTCACCTCCCAAAAGGGGCCCATAGGGTGCTTGTAGGAGAGTTCCCCCACCACCACCAAATTGAGGTGGCAGCCCTTCAGCTCAGGAAGGGAGAAGCAGCCACCCCACTGATCTGGAGGGAGGTCCTGGGCAGATCCCCCGCTTGGAATCTCAAAGAACTCGAGGAGGAGGAGAGGTCAGTCTGCCCATGGCCGGGCTCGCCTTTCGGGGCTTGGCAGGGTGGGCAAGGCCTGAGCTTGCCATCTGCCAAGAGCAGCAGTTCCCATCAACCGTGCTGAGATGCTGAAATGCCAGCGTACTCCTTTCAGCCACAGTTAGCCTGCTCCAATGCTGGGACTTTCCTGTGCTGCGGGCCCAGGTTGGGCAGCCAGGCTCCCCAGGGAAGAGCTGGGGGTGTCCAAGTGCTGAGATGGGTTTTGTGGTGCCAGTTCCCTTCTCTCGCCCAGAGAGCATTTAAGCTCTGCCCAGAGGGCTGATGGGAGGCTCCCAGGGGCTGCAGTTTCACCTTTCCTCCTCCTCCGGTTTCTGGGCTCTCCCTGCTGGAAAGTTGGGAAGGATGGCGGGACAGGGAATTGGGTTCCCTCTGATCCCAGGACCTTATTCAGTGGCGGGGACTGCAGGGCAGGAGCAGTGTGGACGAAGCAGATCTCTCCTTTCCTGTGGGCAACCAGGAGGTCGCTGGGAGTGCTGGGCTGCCCTTTTCCCTGCAGAGCCTCCAGATTTTCCCACCTGGCTTGTTTGCTCTTGGACGCTCTTCTCTGACCCTCGGCCAAACCAGGCATCAGGCCCTGCATCTCCCGGGGTGTCTCCTGTGACCCTCCTTTTGTTTCAGGAGCTACTGTGACAATCTCGGCTACCACCCGCTCAGTGCCGCAGACTTTGGCAAGATCATGAAGAATGTGTTTCCCAACATGAAGGCCCGGCGCCTGGGCACGCGAGGCAAATCTAAATATCCTTTGGAAACAGTTTGGCTGTCTGTGGGCTGCGTGGGCAGATGGTGCTTCGGTACAAAAAGCGCTTCGCACCGTTGGAATTGAAAGATGATACCACCTTAATTTTTAAAATCACATATTGCTATAGTGGACTTCGGAAGAAAGCACTCGTGCAGATGCCATCCCTCCCCAATCTGGATTTCCCTAAAACTGGAGATGGGGTAAGCTCTGCCGCTGCCCTGCAGGTCTCCCTGCGGGTGGGCGGCCACCTCCTGGGCATTGTCCAGGCGAAAGGGCTCCAGGAGCCGCCACCAAGATGGTGGCCAGATGAAAGGAATTTGACACCTGAAATGTAATTTGAGGAATCCTCTCAGGCCAGACCCACCTTGGTTCTCATGAAGATAAGGCGGTGGGGGGGGGGGGGATGAGACATTCAGGCTAGCCACATTCTGTTACTCTGACCTGATTATAAAAGTTGCATGACCAGCATGCATGATCTGATCTGGTTGGAAGAGCTACGGGCGTCTTAGTGGCATAAAGGTCTTTTAGCTGCAGCTGGCAGAGCACAACATAGATCCATGCTGTGCTGGCAGTTTGAGGATTTGACTTCTGCAACAAGAGGTTTCCTGGCCCGATGATCCTGAGTGAAGAGAAGGGAAACCTCGAAAAGTAGCTGAGGATGTGTGTGAGAGGCAGCGGTCTCTAAAAGAAGGCCACCTAGGTTTTGCCTTGGTTCATTTGGGGTAGAATTGTTGAGCTGCATCCCGGAGTCCTTCCTGCACTGAGAGGCTTTGAACGAGGAGACGCCTTCTGAGGACTGGGGGCTAACTAATTCTGCAGCAGGACAAGGCCTACTTTCGCAGCATCTGCTTGAATCTTGCACAAACGCAAAGTACTCTCCCCCATCTACCGACAGCAGCTTTAATTGCAGGCAGTAACGTCTTAAAGAGAGAAGTTGACTTTCCATAAAACTTGGATTGAAATAATCCTCCTGACCAAAACTGAGAACTCAGATTGCTAGAGAAGGTTTTATGGCAGGGTCTGAAGCTGTTTCAAGCCACTGTTTCCCTGGGTGAGAGGAGGAATCTTCAGGGCTGGGGAGCTCCTCCTGTCCTCAGAGGGGGCGGTTTCCCAGAGATGGGGGCAAAGCAGCTGGGTGGGGCAGGACAGCGCTAGCACGGTCCTCAGTCCTTCCTTGTGCTTTGGTTTCAGCTGGATGGGGCAGAGCCTGCTGGGCGCCTGCAGAGTGCCGATGAGGAAATAGTGTCCGCTGCCTGCCAGCTGGTCTGCGAATGGGCTCAGAAAGTGCTCAGCCAGCCCTTTGATTCTGTCCTGGACTTGGCTCGCTTCCTGGTGAAAAGCCACTACACTGGCACCAAATCCATGGCAGCTTTGGCAGTGATGGCAGGCGCCCCTGCAGGTAAGAAGGGAGGAAGCAGTTTCACTCTCACCTTTTCCCCGGGGACCCCTGAGGGGCATCAGGAAGGCATCTAACCTTGCAGGAGCTGATATAAAGCTTCATTCCTGGGGCATGGTTTCACCCCGACATTGAGAAAGGCACTTCGGGCATGGAAGACGCTAGGCCTGTAAGAGGTTCTGCCAGGCATCTTTCACAGCCAGTTGGCTGATCTGGGCAATGATGAGAGGGAGGGGTACAACGGGTGAAATGCTACCGGTTCGCTCCGGTTCAGGCGAACCGATAATGATAAGAACTACCGGTTCGGGCAAACTGGTAGTTAGCTACTGGTTTGGTTGAACCAGTAGTTTAAAAAGCTACCAGTTCAGTTGAACCAGTAGTTAGTTACCAGTTCAGTCGAACTGATAGTTAAAAAAAGCTACCGGTTCCTCCGAACTGGTATTTCCAACAATCAACTGTGCCGTGGGGTTTGCTAGAAAGCATGAAATCCTGTTTTCTAGTGAAGCTAAACCGCGCGGCACAGCTGATCCCCCCCTCGCTGTTCTACTTACCTTCCCAAGCCTCCTTTTTGCATGCACTATGCATGTGCACACCGTGCGTTTGACGCACTCTGCACATGCGCACACAGCAAACCGATAGCAAATCGGTTCAGATTTCACCACTGGGTACACAGTTTTCTTTTGCCCATCTAAAAGCAAACTGGGCCTCCCTGCTCCTTAACAGTATGGCGGAGAAGAGGTTTATTGGAAGGGCTGCCCTGTTGCTCTGCACAATGTACTGAGGTTCCCCATTGTGCTTCCTACGATGGCCGAGCTGAGCCTTCTCCCTGGTCAAGGCCCTGCCTGCCCCTTCCAGGACTCAAGGGGATCCCCCAGCCGTCGGCTTTTGTCCCGACGGCAGAGAGCAACTCCTTCCAGCCCCAGGTGAAGACGCTGCCTTCGCCCGTGGATGCCAAGCAGCAGCTGCAGCGCAAGATCCAGAAGAAGCAGCAGGAGCAGAAACTGCAGTCCCCTCTGCCAGGCGAGTCGCCCGCCAAGAAGGCCGAGGGCCCAGCAAGCAATGGTGTTGCCAGCCTTCCGAATGGGAGCCCGGCCATCCTGTCCCCTCAGTCCATTGGCATTGTGGTGGCTGCTGTGCCAAGTCCGATCACGGTAAGTCTCCGGAGGAGGGAGGGAGGGCTGCCACCAGTAGCGTTGCATGTTGGGGCAGGACCAGGCGGAGACCTACAGAGAGGTCGTCTGGCTGTGCAGGAAGGAAACTTCTTCCACGATTTGGAGAGACATTTGGCTGGAGCGACTCCAGAGGGGGCAGAGGTGGGTTGAGGCATTAAGTCAAGAATTGGGAGAGTGAAGAGATGGGGCAGGGTGGATGGGAAGGAAGAGATCTGGGAGTCCTGCATGGCTTGGGGGAGGGGAGTGGGGAGCATGGAGTCCCCTGTTCCCAGAAGAAAGCAAACCGGTCAGCTCAGAGTGCAGCTTTCTCCGTTGTCACCCCCTTTTCTCCCCCGCAGGTGCCAAGGTCCCGGCAGTTGGTAACGTCTCCTAGCCCGATGGGCTCGACTGATGGCAAAGTCCTTCCACTCAATGTCCAGGTGGTCACTCAGCCCATGCAGTCCATCAAGCAGTCTCCAAAGACTCCCCAGAATGTGCCGGCCAGTCCCGTGGGAGATCGCTCTGCTCGTCATCGCTATGCCCAGATCCTGCCAAAGCCAGCCAACACCAACGCGCTCACCATTCGTTCCCCAACCACAGTGCTCTTCACGAGCAGCCCAATCAAGACGGTGGTTCCTGCTCAGCACATGAACGTGGTCAAAATGACCGCCATCTCGCTTGCCCCAAGCGGTGCCAGTGGCACGCCCATCAAGCACACAGCCTCCGCCATTGGCTCAGGAGGCGCAGAAGAGCCAAGAAGTCTCCCTCAGATCAAGAAAGGATCTGTGATTTCACTCCAGTCCCCGGGAACCAAAGGTGGCAGTGGAGGCCTAGCTTCTGCCCCGTCTTCGGTCGAGGTCAAACTGGAGCCAGAACTGGTGCTGGATGAGACCTTGCAGCAGAATCTAGAGAATGCAAACCCCGCTCAAGCGGTCAGAGTTACCCTGCTAACTCCTGTGGATCAGTTGAGGACTGTGGAAGCTGAGGCCTGGAAATGCCGGGCTGAGGAGCGTTTTGGAGCAGCAAGCTGTGACCCCCAGGAGGGAGATTCAGAGAGGAAATCCCTTTCCCAGGCGCATGAAGCCCCCCTGGGTCCCTTGGACGCAGGTCAACATGTCTCCAGCACTGGCATCGCCCCCTCGCCTATTGCAGGCGACCAAGGATGCCCGAAAGGCCTGCGGAAGAGGCTGCCTTCTGCCTTTGTGGACGCTCAGGGCCCCCCTGTCAAGAAACTTTCTGTGGGACAGGCATCTGCAGAAGCCCCCAAGGCCAGCAGTGTGAAGAAAGCCCAGCAGACGGGCGGCCTGCCTCTCCCTAACAGTGACAGTCCGGCTGCCCTTCTCCAGAGTCCCGGCCAGGCGGCCCTTCAAATCCAGTCTGCAGCCTCAGGGATCAGCCTGGAGACTTCCTGCCCCCTGGATGCTGACCTCATCATTGCCCCCAGCGACTCTCTGCTAGAGCAGCCCCCAGCGGCCGCCTCAGCAGGTGTGGAAATGAAGTTGGAAGGAGACGTCTTTGTCCTAGGAAACAGCTCCAAGTCCGAGGGCAGCCTGAACCCCAACGTGTGGCAGCACCTGGCCAAGGGCTCCCCCTTCGTCCAGGAGGCCTGCAAGCCCCCGATCAGTGTTATGACACTTGCTGGACCATCCGACTCCGAGGACCTGCCCAAGTCCGCCTGGGAGCCGGTGCACTTAGAAGGGTTCCAGCAGACCGGGACAGCCTTTGGGCAGCCGTTACCAGATCAGGTCCAGCCGCCCTCTCTCGACCAGCCTCTGCCTGGCCAGAGCTCCAGTCAGCTGCCCCTGCAGCAGGAGCTGAAGGACTTCGAGGATGCCGCCTCCCAGTCCCACGAGAACTTCTTCTCCTTCGACGACGACCTGACCCAGGACAGCATCGTGGAGGAGCTGGTGCTGATGGAGGAGCAGATGTCCCTCAGCACCTCCCACCTCTACAGCGCCTCCCTGGGGATGGCTCTCCAGAACCAGGGGGTAGCTCAGGGGGCATCCTTGGCCCCTCACCCCAACAGTGCCCACTTCTATCACCCGATCCACAGCAACAGCACGCCTGTCCATACACCCACGCCCACCCCAACGCCCACCCCAACGCCCACCCCCACCTCGGAAATCATGGCAGGGTCACAAGGCGTGTCGCGGGAGAGTCCATGCTCCAGGATGGCCCAGACCACGCCTGTTGACAGCGCCCTGGGGAGCAGCCGGCACACGCCTGTTGGCACCCCACACTCCAACTGTAGCAGCAGCGTGCCCCCAAGCCCCGTGGAGTGTAGAAACCCCTTTGCCTTCACCCCAATTAGCTCCAGCATGGCCTACCACGACGCCAGTGTGGTTTCCAGCAGTCCTGTGAAGCCCATGCAGCGGCCCATGGCCACCCACCCTGATAAAACCAAGCTGGAATGGATGAATGCCGGCTATGGCAGCGTGGGGGCATCCTCTGTCACCAGCCAGGGAATTCTGCCCGGCTACCAGGAGTCGGTGGAAGACCGTTTCAGGAAGCCCCATGCCTTTGCTGTCCCTGGCCAGTCCTACCAGTCTCAGTCACGGCACCATGATCCCCATTTTGGGCGAGTGACCCCCGTCTCCCCTGTCAGCAACAAGCAGGAAGGTTTTGCCGTCCCTGCCCCTCTCGATAACAAAGGGACTGGCTCCTCTCATGGCGGCCATTTCAGATGCCGGAGTGTCAGTCCTGCCGTGCACCGCCAGCGGAATCTTAGCGGAAGCACCGTCTGCCCTGTCACGGCCGTGCTTCGCTCTGGAACGATGGTGGGCTCTTTTGGGAGTCCGGTCCCCCTGGAAGTTCACCCCTCCTTGGCAAACGTCCATGCAGACCCAAGTGCCAGTACCCTCGCCCAGCGCAGCCAGTCAGTGCCCCTGACGGTGATGATGGAGACGGCTTTTCCACAGCCTCAGAAGCAGCCGAGTTCAAAGAAGATCACCAATGTCTTGCTCAGCAAGCTGGACTCGGAGAACGATGATGCCGTGCGTGGCCTGGGCATCAACAACCTGCCCTCCAATTACACCGCCAGGATGAACCTGACTCAGATTTTGGAGACTTCTGCCGCCTTTCCAAGTGCCAATGCCCAGAACATGCCCCCATGCAGCCCGTCCGTTTTTGAATTCCAAACACCAGGTTACCTCGCTAAAAACAGCAGCCCTGATCCGGCAGACTTTGCTTCTGGGGACCATGCAGCCCATTCGGAAGCTGGGGAGCAGCAGCTGGATTTCAGCGGCACCGTGAAGGAGCTTTTGGAGGAGAGCAGCCTGCAGGGCAGCCAGGTGCCTGCCGACTTGACCAATGTGGCCTCTGTCTTCTCCAGCGACATGAGGCTGACCTCGGAGCTGTCGGGGAGCATGAACGACCTGAACGCTCTGGACCCAAATCTGCTCTTTGATCCGGCCCATCCACAAGGCCAAGACGACGAGGCAACACTGGAGGAGTTGAAGAACGATCCCCTTTTCCAGCAGATCTGCAACGAGTCCATCAGCTCTATGACTTCCGCAGGTTTCGATTGGATGGAGAGTAAGGACCATCCTGCTGTGGAAATGTTGGGTTAAGAAGTGTGTGCGTGTGTGCGTGCACGTATGTGTGTATGTATACACACCTATACATATTTGTGAGTGTGTGCGTATATATATATATATATATATATATATATATATATATATATATATATGTATATATGTGTGTATATATACGTGTGTGTGTAAATATATATACACGCACACACGTGTGTGTATGTGTGTATAAAATCTATGTAGCACACTGTATTTAAGAAAATCTAAAGACAAGACATACTGTATTTGTCTTAATGGAAGTGCCTCCTGCAGCAGAAACAAAATTTGTGACATTTTTTTTTAAAAAAAGAACTGCTCTACCAGCTGCTTTATTCTTCAGCAGGGTTTATACAATCTTAACCAATTTTTAAGGCATTTCTGAAGGATGCAGCCTGCTCCAGAGCCAGTATTAGGTTTTAAAATTTTGCTTACTGAAAAACATGGCTTGCTGCCTCTGGAGGATAAAGAGCCTTTGCGGGAGGGTATCGGGAGGTAGGAAGGGAGTGCTCCCCACCCAGCCTTCCCTCCGTCTGCTCTGTAGGGCCTTCCATTGGCATCAGGGTTCAGAGAGGCAATGCTGAAACTGGGAAGGTGCATGGATGGGTTGCATGATGCATCTGGTCAGGAAGTGCTTCTGCACTCTGGGTGCATAAAGACTCTGCGCCTTTGCTGGCACGATTGGCACACCAGAGAGAGCAAACATCCTGATCACAAATACCATATGCCTGCAGAGTGGAAAAGGCAGAGGGGGCCAGCGGGGCCAGCGTTCCTAGGTCATTCAATTGGGAGATGGTCTCCGGCTGGCCTTTCCCAAAGGATGGTGGACTTGGCACCCCCTCCACGGGAAGGTCCTGGGGGGGGGGCGGGTGCCTCATTGGCCAGTTGCCAGGGAAGGCCAGCGGTAGACAGGAAGGGGGGAAAATCAGCACAACTTGAGTCAGATGATGGTTAACTCCTTATCAAGGGCTAATTGTGGGCAGGAGCAGGAGAGGCTTCCAAGAAAGAAAAAGCAGCCCAAATCTTTTATCCCAAATGGAAAATTTATTCTGCCACAGGGTGGCTCATATTAAGAATACACCAGAATGTTTTAAAAGCAAACAGTTTAATGCTGCTTTTAATGTCCTTGAGTAGGGAAGACTAGTTCCAACCCCTGCGATTAATAAATCTGTTCCTTCCATGGCAACTGTACCCTAAAATGTTTGTCAGGATTTATAGTTCTTTTTGTTCACATGAAAAACTAGAATGCAAAAATGACCGTGATTCAGGTTTTCCTAACTCACAGGCTTTAAAAAAAAACAAAAACATTTTTCTGCAGAAACTAGTTAGTGTTTCCAGGATTGACACAACTGGCCAGTTCTTTCTTGATGAAGGACTCTGGTTAACGCTGGAGGGTGAATTTCCGAGGCCTTCCATGGTAGGAACTGTGGGAAGCCTGCTGTGGCTGAGCCTGTCCTCAGAAGTGCTCCTCCCAGCACCCACAGGGAAGTAGGGGGACTGCGGGGGCGGAATCTCTGGGGCTGGCACTTTGATGCCAACAGATGAGCAGCTGTGCCATGAGCACTGCTCTTGCGTGGCTTCTCCGACTCACCAGCTCTGAGCCTCTTTTACCAGCACAGCTCCAGGGAAGGTGGGGTGGTCCTGCCTCTCAGGGGAGAGAGTACCCCGAGGCAGCCGACTGGGCAGGGGAGCCAGGCCAAGGAGCCTCTTACGGTTCAAGGTGCACTAATCCCCTTCTGGGCTAGGATGCCTTATGAGGAGGCGCCCAGGAGGCTGTGCCCTTGCCTTATGCTAGGTCAGCAGTGGGAAGAGGGAGAGGGGACAAAGTTGAGCCTCTTTCACCTCCCGTCTGGGGGCTGCCAATCCACCCGATCCCTGGCTTAAAAGAAGGTCTGTCTAAGCAAGCTTTTTCGGGTTTTATTCCCATGTAAAGGTGTGTCTTGTGAAGCCTCTGCAGCCATGAGAATCTGCTCCTGTACAAGCACATGAATGGCGCTGGGGCCACTTGTTTCTGTGTGGTCCTCAGCTTTTTCCAGGATGGCCCAGGCCTGATGACCCACACTGCTGGGCATATTGCTCGTGTAGAGATTCTCTCTCTCTCTCACACACACACACACACACACCCCACTCAAGTAGTATTTGTGGGGCTGTCCTATGGGATACAGAGAGGTGGAGTCATTGGGGTGCTAGGTGTAAGCAGTGGGCTTTGGGCTTCCAGTGCCCAATTCAGGCACCTGTGCAGAGCCCAGTCCCCGCCTCAGAGACAGAAACAAAAACTTCCGTTTCCTTTCCAGCAATAGTGTAGCTGGTGCTTGGCTCCTTTTCCTGGGAAACTGGCAGTGCTTGGAAGCAGGGGAGCTGCTGGACCCAGGCATGAGCCTCAGGCTGAAGGGGCTCCCCCCATTCCAGCTCTAATGGTGCTAGGGGGTTGTCCACGTGCTCTCCCTTGCCTGACCTTTCTGGGGGGCTAAGCACTGCCACAACCCAGGCCTCCCAGTTGTCCTTCCTCGTGGCCCAGCTGGCAGCCTCCCTCCCTGGCATCGGGGCAGTCAAGGCGGCCCAGTTTTGATGAGATTTTGGGCCATTCCTCAACCAGGAAAGGCAGGGTGTCCCCAAAGGAAAGGTTGCTTGTTTTATGTAGCAAAATTATCTCAGTGAGATACAGCTCCTCTTATTCTCTTACCTGAGAATCTTACAGCAGGAAAAGTCTGTGTTTGCCTCACCTCTTGGTGCATCCTCACCCATGTGCATGCGGTGTTCTCTCGGCTTGCCTCGTTCGTGCTAGTTAGACTCCCGTCAGCCACCCCATCCCTCCCTCCCTCCCTCCTTCGTGTTGGATTGGGGCCGGTTCTGCACAACTAGATTGGCGCGGGGAGTTGCCCGCTCGCTTCATGATCCTGCCAGGCTCAAAGGTCACCCTCGGCCAGACGCTGCTTCTTCCCCAAGCGGGCACAGAAGCCACTTCTGGTGCACCTGGACTCTCCATGAACTACCCCCCCCCAGACCCGGTTGCCCAGCTTTCGAGGAGCGTTTCGTTGTCTGTTGGACCGCTAAAGGACAGTGGATAGGTCTTGCCGTGTAGCATTTCAGTTCATTTTTTTTATTGGAAGTGCTCAACATTTGTTTTTTAATGTTTTCAGGAACAATAAAACATTTTCTATGAAATTTGACTCCAGAAGCAAGTTCTTGGGAGCTCAAGGGTCTCCATTCTTGCTCGGCCTGGGGAGGGAGGGGGTGGAGAGGAGGGCCCTCTTGGCCTGGGCAGAGGCTAACTGATGCTGTCCCTTTGGCAACCACTCTCCTCTGCCCTTCCAGACCCAGTGCTTCTCTTTGGGAAAGAGCGAGGACCCTGGGCTGAGAGAGATACACCTGCATCTTCCCTTCCCCCAGCCTTCCAGGAAAGTGGCATTGGGGCTGGAGGTGGACTGGACTGGACGGGGGAGACCTGGTGGCCACAGGGTTCAAGGGCGGTCCCGGATTCAGCAAAGTGGCAGGAAGTGAGGTGGCAGCTGGTCTCCAGGGGCTCTTAATGGTAACAACCCCAACCCGGCAATGCTGCCACGGGAGAGAGTGGGGCAAGGTGGGTGGGAGGACAGCCGTGGGAAGTTGTGTGTTGGCCAGCTCCCCAAGGGAAGCTTATGGTCACAATTCCTGTGGCCTCCCACCTGTGAGCCTCATTAGGCAACCCGCAAGAAAGTGCCCGAGGGAGGCCGCCATAGAGGAAGCCCTGGAAGACTTCCACAGGCCTGCGAAGACCCCCTGGCTCCCAAGGGAGAGACCACCATGGCCCAGCAAGGTTTGGCCTTGGAGCGTCGGCTGTGATCCTGGGGGAAGGGATGCGCAGGCCAGGGTTTCTTTTTGCTGCAGAGAAGCTGGGTGCTCTTCCTAATCTTGGAAAATTGTTTCCAAGTGGAAATGCAGACAAAAGTGGAAATTTGGTTGAAGTGCAGTATTGCAGGCAAACTCTGTCCATGGCATCGAGTTTGATCCTGACGGCACAAGGTTAACTCGGCCTTCCATCCTTCTGAGGTTGATCCAGGTCGGTAAAATGAGGACCCAGATTGTTGGCATTATGCAAATAATGCTGACATTGTAAACCTCTTGGAGCGCTCCAAGGCACTATGGACCCCAAATGCTATGCTATTTAATGATGAGGCTTAATCACAACATTGTCTTGGCCTCTTCCTCCTTGGTTCTGCTTTGGAGCCTCCAGCCATCCTTCAAGGGCACCCCTCCTGTTCTCCCAAAGTAGGGAAGGCTGAGCTGTGGGGGGAAAGTAGGCAGGATGGACTGAAAAGCCCCTTTGGGGCAACCAGGGTGATTGAGAATCTCCATAGACTTTTATTCAAGGCGCTTAATACCCTTTCCCCAGTCCAAGGGCAATGCCGGAATTCCCAAAGCCAGGATCTTTGCAATTCTTCCCCTTTTCCACCAGAGGGCAGAGGACATCCAAGCGGTGCCACTTGATTTTCCGCTCAGTCCAGCCCAGAAGGGGGCGCCTGAAACCCACGGAACCACGCCGGTTCCCAAAGCAACAGGTTCCGTGAATGTCGGGGAGTTTTATGCTTACTAGATCTACCAATCCTGCCCTACTGGACAACATTCAATGTCAGCGGAAATCCAAAGGTGCTTTTCAAAAGGCACCTGGACTTGCTCGGTTGTTTTCTTTGAAATCGCTTCGCTCCTCCTCCCAAGAAGAACGGAAGAAGCTGGTCGAATGAGAAGCGAAACAAAAGCAAAGCCCCTTTGGGATAACCGTGACCCGGAGGACTGAGCATCTCCACAGCCTCTTCGGCGGAAGGTTCGGTTACCCTGGCTGGGGGAGCAGCTTAAAGAACCAAAGGCTGCGAACGACCCAGGGGAGGAGAGGGGCTCGCAAGCACCGCCGCGCCGAGAGCGCTGCCGTCGCGTAGCTGCTCCTCGGGCTTGTGCGAAAGGTTGCCGACCACAAAGGGAGCAGAAGCTGAAGTGTGGCCAGACTGCAGAGGACGGGGCTGGGCAGGGGCCTTCCATCCGCTCTCAGCTTCTCTTGCCACCAAAGGAAACGGAGGAGGCCTTTGGCCCAGCCGCCTGCCCAGAATTACCTGCGGCTGCGGGGCACCCAGCGCTCGGATCAGCTGCCACACAACGCCGCAACTTGTGGCACTTATCGCCGCCTTTGCCGCCCCCGCGCATTCATGGGGGTTTGGAGGCGGCGGACGGCCTCAGCTCAGGCGCGGCCTCTTCCCCACCCACGCTCGCTCGCGGGCTGGGGAAGCTCCTCGAGGGTTCAGGAGCAAGCCGGGCGGCTGGCGGAGCTTTCGGAGTCCGCCAAGCCACGCTGCGCCAGCGGCCTTTGCGCGCCTCACTCCCCGTCGCCCTTCAAGCGGTGCGCGGCCGGACAGGGAAAGGCGGCTAATGCGCGCGGCCGACAGCGGGGACGCGGCTCCCGCCCGGAGCCTCTAACCTCAGGTGCCTGCTCCGGCCTCGGGGGGGCGGGGCGAGCAGGGGGTCGTTTGCCCCACCCCGGCCGCGCCGACGGCCAATGGCGAGCGGCGCAAAAGTAGCGCCGGACCGCGGCGCGTCCGGGGAGCCTCGCGCCCTCCGCCCGGCCCGGCCTGCCCCGCTCCGCCGGCCCCGCAGCGCCCCTCCCCGCTTTTGTGTGGCCGTCTGTCCGCGCGCGCCAGCCGCCGCTCTGTGTCCGGGCGCGGCCGGAGAGGAGCAAGAGGCCGGCCGCGCCAGGGAAGCCTTTCGGCCCGGGGAGCGAGGGGTCGCGCGGCTGGCCGGCCGGGAAGGGCGATGCCCGAAGAGCCCGCCGTTGCTCGCTGCTAAATGGCGCCCCGCCGGAGCCCTGACCTCGCCGCCGCCGCCGCCGCCGCCCTCCTCCTGCTTGCCGCCCTCCCAGGTGAGTCCCTTCCCGGCCAGGCGGCGCGCATCTGACCCGCCTCGCCCGGCCCCTCCGGCCCCGGCAGCCGCCCACGGGACGAGAGGCCGCGGCGGCTGCTGCCGAGCCGGCTCGCTGGCCGCACGTGCGCTCTGGCCGGCCGGCTCACCCGCCCGGGAAAGCCCAGAGCCACGCCGGACCGCGCGCCGCCCGCCCGCCCGCCCGCTCGCCGCTGCCTGGTCCCTGCCGCGGTTCGCGAAGCGGCCGGCCTCGGCCTGCTGGGCTCTCGGAGAGCCGCGCGCTGCTTTCGGCCGGCTGCCCGCTCCGCCCGCAAATCCTCCCCGGCGGGTTCCTTCGCGTGCCTCCCCACGGACAACCCGCGCCCCACCCTCGCCTTCCAGAAAGGCAGCTCGGCCGGGCTCCTCCGCGGGCGGCCCTGCTTGCGGGGAGGGCTTGGCCCCCCCAGAGGTGTCCCGCTTTTCAGGAGCTGCCCGTTGTGCAGCTGGCTGGTGCAGAGCGGCCAGAGGAGGTGGAGGAGGAGGAGAAGCTTGTGGGGGGCAGAAGGCCCAGCCCTTCTCCCCAGAGGGTTCAAGGCTGCTGGCCACAGTGTGGCACCTGGGGATGTTTGGCTGAAAACAGGGTAAAAGGCCTCTGGCAAAAAGAGCATTTTCCTGCTCACGGTGGTTTACTTCTCTTGCTCTCTTAGGGATAAGGAGCTTTAGTGAACTGTTTTTCGTGAAAGAGCCTCAAGATGTGACTGTTGCCAGAAAGCAAGCGGTGGTTTTAGACTGCCTGGCCCGTGGTGAGGTCCCCATCACCATCACCTGGCTCAGAAATGGAGTTAAAGTTTCTGAAAACGAACAGATCCATTCTCTGTCCAATGGCTCTTTATACATACGCGAGCTGGAGAGCAGCAAGCCAGGCGAAAGGCTGGATGAAGGAGGCTATCAGTGCTTGGCTCTGAATAAACACGGCGCTGTTCTCAGCCAGAAAGCGCATCTCACCTTTGCAAGTAAGTTTCCGTGACTTCCTTTGAGGGCCAGTTCCAGCACATTACAGAGGCGGGGCCTCTGGTTTGGGGCAGGCTGACCTATCCTGGGGTGCTTTGTAGAACCAGATGTGTTCCATGCTCTGAAAGCAGCTGGGCCTTCTCCCACCTGCACCCACTTTTCGAGCAGAGGCAGCAGCTGCATCCCCTCTGTGAGGCAGTAAGGTTGGCGCTCTAATCCATACAGTTGATGACACGGGAGGTTGCTTAGTTTTTAAGCACCTGGAAGATTATGTGTGCTACCAGAGTTGGCTTTTTGTGGCTAGATAAGTTGTGTGAACCCTGGGTTGTCATCTCTGAATCATGGCTTGTGGCTTATTCCACAAATTGATTTTAAAAACTCTCCAAAGTATTGCGGTCAATTAGTATTTGTGGATTTACTGCTATCCTGTGGCACTTTCAAAGCATTTGAGCCTTTTGAGACATTGCTGAGCTGTTGAGGAGGAGAAGAGCTCCTTGGCAGGCAGGCTGGCTGGCTGGCTGACCCTATGGTAGAAAATAGGCCCTACTGACTTTTGGGAAGACCTTGCTTGGCCACAAAATGTTTCTCTGCCCCTTCCCACAAGCTGTAAAAAGCAGAATGGTCCTTTGAGATACTACTTTGCTGATTAACCAACTTGGTGCTTCCACGAGAGAGTGGCCATGAGATCTTGTAGTCGGTTAATTTCTTCCTGCATTTTCTCTGCTTGTCTGTAAGACGAATGAGGTGGGTGGGACCAAAGATGCCTTCAAGGTCTCTGGGTAAAATCTGCCTGTCAGTTGTTGCAAGAAATGCTGTATTGAGCCTGCAACCTTGTAGGACAGTTTTTATACACTTGTTTTAATGCATGCCTGATCATTATTCTAATTATATTTTCAGCTTAAAGGCATTCCCTACTTCCAAGTGGTGATGCAGAATAATTCAAGAGATAAACTAGGTGTGAAGGTTGCATGCTTTTCAGTAGAGGAGTCATTAGGGACTATTTTGTGGTTGTGTTTGCTATTCTGCTTTGCTTTGTGTCTCAAATCTTGGGTATCCCTTTGTGCCCTCCAGCAGGTCCTTTCCCCCAGTTGCTTCATGACCAGGGGACTCTTTGCCTTAAGAGCACGCAGGGGTGGACATGCCAATGCTTGCAGGAAGGACCCTTCGCCCAGCATCCCTGTTTTCAAGCAATGCAGCAGGGTCTAGCTGTGGGGTGCAGGGGGCTATTCTTCCTGCCATCAGCACGGCAGTGTCAGGCCGGAAAGAGGGAAGGTGTTGATGAAGGGAAGGGCCAGCAGCAACAGCTCCCTCTTTGATCTGGCAACAGAGTTGGCCTTTCCGGGGAGGGGGGTGTCTCTTCTGCAGCAGGATCTTCCTGGGAGCTACTTCTACTAAACCTGTAAGTGGCTGGCAGTGAGGTCTGGGGCTGTGCTCATCTTGTGGAAACTGGGGTGAAAGGACATTTATACTATGCCTTCAGGAATTGAGAAAATATCTTATTGGAGTGACTGTATGTGGTGTTCAGTGATGAGTAGCAAAGCAGCAGCACACTGTGCTCTTAAGAGAACATAAAGGAGACCCCCTCCCAACTTTTGCCTCAGCTTTTCAGAGGCCCCAGGGAAGGGCTTTTGCAGGTGCACAATAAGACACATTTGGGTTGTCAGTTAGCCAACTCCAGAGTTCATCTGTCTCCACAAATTGGCCCTGTGCCCATAGCCTTCTTGGCATCCTCCAGCTGGGCTTGGCAGCCATGCTCCCTGAGCTCTTCTGCCTTGGACTTCATTGATGTCCTGCAGCTGTGGGAATCCTTCTCCTAGGTATGTCTGGAAGACATCAAGCAGGGGGTGTTGCATTGTTGCGACTCCTCGTTATTTCCAACAATTTGGAGCACCGCATTGATGATAAAAGCACTTTTCCTGCAGATGGGAAGGCTGATAGTGTTTGAATGTTTTGAATGGTCTTTTCCTTGTGTGCTTAAAATATTGCATGTCCAAACTCTGATGTCCATAACTCCTACAATTAACATGAGAAAGCTGAAACTCCTTTTAAGTAGATGGAATTACGCTGCCCTGCCTCTTGTCTGCTGCAAGGGTCTTTGGGGGATGGGTGGTTGAATCTCCAGCATTTTGTGCTGAGAGGATAGAGTTCTCCTGGTCTGTGATGGCTTTACAGCCTTTAAGAACAAAACGACTTTCTTCTTTGTAGCTAAGCTGAACCCCCATATTCTCAGCAGGTGGAGGAGGGGCCTTCCCTGCTCTTCCCTTCCCTTCTACTGGAGAAGCATGGGGGGTCCCCCTCCCCCGCCCTGTGGATCTTTGTTCAGACTTTCAGCATGTTCCTGTGCCTTGGGTTTCAGAGTGCAATCCTGTGTGCTGCCTTTGGAAATCTAACACTTTAATCTGCCATGGAGTTTAAGGCCCCAACACAGAAGGAGCCCAGAAAGTTAGCCTGGAAGTGGAGTTTTGTTGCACTCTCTGCAACCATTCCATTATTCATGTGCAAATTAAGAATTCACTGGGTTAAAAGGTTAGAAACTGGCCAGGATGAGGTTTAAAAGAGCAGATGACCTCCTTCACAGGGTAGAGATTTCCATGTCAGCTCCTCAGTGATTGCCCTGAATTGTTCCTGAGGAATGCAGCCTCCTCCCTGCCACAACCCACCCCCCACTCCACCCTTATCTTGAGAGCCCATCAAAGTGGATGGCATTCTGCAGGGGGGGGGCTGGCTTGCCCTCCCTGCATTCCTGGGGGCAGGAAAGGATGGGTCTCACATCTAGACCGCTTCTTCTTCCTCACCTTCCCCTTTTACAGGGTACCCCAAAGATAAGATAGTAACCAGGCAAAGCAAATAGCATGGCTTCTAATACACAGCAGGATAATTGAGGGGGGGAGGTTCCTCCTCTACATTTTCTTTGTGAGGCACCAAGTGAGGGTAAAATGCTAATATCATCGGAAGAAGAAGATTAAGCAGCCGGGCTGCTCCTTTGAAGTTGAGGCCAGCCCTGGCCCTGCATGCCCTGTAAAATAACCGGAGCTGAGTGGGACCAATATCTGCAGTGTTTAGCTTGACTGGGGAAGTTGCCCCCTGTGCCCCGGTATTTCAGCAGGCAGGACTTGGACTAAATGAGAATCCAGCTCATGGAACACTGCAGATTCCCCTGAAATTATTTCAAACAAACAGCTGTTTTTCAGAGAGAAGAAGAGATGATTGAAATTGGCAGATTCATTTACTACATTTCTAAATGGCTTTGCAATTCCTGTTCACAGGTATAAAAATGACAACATTTTACACTCTCCCAGCCCAACTCGCTTCTCAGGATGGTTGTTGTAGGGAAAACAGGAAGAGGAAAGTATGTTAGAGATGTTTGCTACCTTGAGTTATTTGTAAAAATAATAAAGGTGGGATATAAGTAAATTAAATAATAATATGAGGGCTAGGCCCCTCTGGCCAACATTTTGTCCGAGACCGGCCCATGGGGGCTGCTTCCTTTGCTCCTGGCCTCATGCACCACTAGTGGCAGTGGATTGCCCCCACCCCCACCCCGCCTGGAGATACCACCCAGGCACAGGCCTGGCAGTCCCTGAATGAGTCCTGTTGAAGCCACCTGAGCCCGTGACCAAGACCAGCTTTGTGGCAGCATCAGAAACACACAATAAGAGCAAGCCAAGATAAGGCAAGCAAGGGGCATGATTTCCCATTGACTGGTTTGGCTTTGGCTATGAAGACACAGGAAAATTGCAGTTCTAGAGAATTCCTTTTCCTCCAAGACTTCCTTCTGAAGTTCAAGGAAGGACGAACAGTCTGGTTTCTTCCTGCTTTTTCAGCATCAGGACGTTGCTCTGGGCAAGGAAGGAAAATTTTTGACTGGGTCCATCCTTTCTCTCTCTCTTATCTGTTTTAGCCTCCAGGTGAGATGGTTTTTTTGGATATAAACCTTTGTTTGTTATTCAAGGCCTCCTAGAGCGCCAGTAATTAAAGGTATCCCCTATTGCCCCCCCTCCTGATCTCAGGCTGTGGTTTAGCTTTCTAGGTTAGAGCAGAAAGGAAGTTGCATCAGCTTTAATTCTAATGCAAATTATTAAACCTAAACCTAACCTCATTGAACAACCACTTTCATAGGACATGGAGAATGAGAGGAGTATGGAAAGGTGGAAAACTACCATTTTGTTTCTCAACAGCCTGAAGTCCAGAAAAGGAAAACCAGTTCTTTCCCCCCTTAATAACTATTTCTGTGGCTGGTTGCCCACAGGCACTTTGCCTTCCCCAGATAGTCAGCAAATACGTTTGCCTAGTTAAACATTCCTCTAGCACACATGTTAACTGCAGAAGACTAACCCAGTGTTGTCCCTGGCCTCTGGTTTGCATAAACAGATCCTGCTTAGTTTGGGTGGTGGAAAAAGAATAAGGCTGAAAGACAAAATGGTTTTCCTCGGGTTGCCCTGTGAGTTCCTGGGGCTCCGTCTCCTCTGCATTTGTTAGCTTCCTGCAATGGCCAAAAGGACCTCCTGGCCCCATTTCCCTGCTTCTCAGCTGCACAGCTGGGCCTTTTGGTCCCCCGCAGGACCAGGGCGTCAGTCATCAAGGGGCATGTCTGAAGGCAAGCTAGGGGTCAGGTTGACAGTTCCTGCCCACATGTGCAGAAGCCCTAGAACAGCCACCTTGGCTTCAATTTGGCATTGTTTTTCTTGGGTGGCTTTGCTGGCCCAGCTTTAAACTGGGATTGATTACTTCCAGTAATCCAGTTTGATTACTCATAACTAGTCACCTTCACCTAAGTGAAGACGCAAGTTGCCTGTTTTGGGTGCTCAGCCGCACTCGCTGCAATCAACAGAGGGATGGGAAGAAGCGAAGGCTTTCTGGCTGCGGCATTTGCGCCCACTGGACAGTGAGCCCCAATGCTAAGCTTTTGCCTCCACCCAGCCGGGAAAGGCTGGGGAGAGAAGGTGAAGCAGCTGCCAACACAAAAGGGGAATGCTGGGCTTAATGGCAAGGAGAAAGTAGT